TAAATCTTAAAAAAATTAATAGTTTTAATTATTAATTAATATTTAATAAATAATTAATATATATTTACTTAATAGTTGGAAATCAACTTATAAGTTGATAGCATTAAGTACCCTAAAAAGCTATAAACAAATTGGAAACACATGTAATATGTGATGTAGTCTCAACTATTGGTTACACGGCTATAACCATCGTGATCAAGTTGAGACGACTTCCATTTTGTTTTGGTTTGAAGTGTTTTTGGGATAAGCTTGTGCTTCTATGATCTTAAGATTAATTTTTATCAATAATTTTAAAAACTTATCTCTTGCAATTGTATGCTGTATTAAAAAAACATATAATTAAGAGAATAAAAATGTGACTTATAAAGAATTAAATTAGAGAGTACTAGGCTACATTTTGCTTTCCTATTCTTTCTTGAAAATGAAGGAGAAAGAATATTCTCTTGGTAATTCGGTATTTTTTTTTTTAATTTCGAAGTAAAGTAGTATTTTAATTTAACATGTCATTTGGCATGTAATTTTGGTATTAATTTTAAGTTCTGTTACAAATATCTTAGGCCATTGACTTAAGAAAACTGTCTCTTCACCTTCAAGCTTGATCTTTAACGTGGAGTGGATTCCTAATGGAGGGTTGAACTTGAGTTTTAATACTACATAAAAATTAAGTATATAGGCATTAACACAAAATTTATATTTGATTTAAAATCAATTAATAATAAATAAAATATTATTTTTTATATTTAAATAATACATATTTTTTATTGTATTTGACCTTTTGAGCCACCTTAAAGGTGTAATTCTCCCTCTCCTTAATAAGTTTGAAGTTCGAATCCCACCCTTATCATTTTGTTCAAAAAAAAAAAAAACATATTTCTTATTATATTTTGATACAAGGTTTCCCTCTCACATGTAGGTTTGATTTGAACTTTGAGATTTATCACGTAAACTTAATAAGATAGTTTATACAATCTTCTGAATATTAAAGGAAATAAAAATGACAAGACTTCTAAATTTGCACTCTAAAATAGGAGGGTAGGAAAAGATAAAAAAAAAGGGACAAATTGTCATTTTAAATTATGAATTAAAATAAATTATTCATTATTTAACGTATAATGTTATCACATATGTTAGAAATTTATTTATCACCTAATTATGTTTTTAAAGATTGATATATAATAATATCACACGTTAAATAATAAATAATTTGACTTGATCGATAATTTAAAAAAATAATTTATTTTTTTTAAGAGATAGATATATTTTTTCCCTATTATTTTGGGGGAGGGGGTAAATTTAAGAATTTCACCGATAAAAATTAAGAGAAAATGCTTTTGTAGAAAAAACTAAAGAGGATGTTTCCTAATTTGCGTACTACCATTTCACAATATATATATATATATACACACACACACTACCATATATGCTTAAACGACTTCGTTCTTCTATTTTTATTTAAAAAATTATTATTTAATTATTTAATTATTAATTATTATAAATATCTCTTTTGTAGGAGTAAAAAATTATAAAACAAAATTTTTAATTCGATTCAAATTCCCTTCTCCTTAGTTGCTATGTTAAATACCTACTAAATAAATATCAAAAAAGTTATACCGTTTAAATTCCATTAAATTATAATTTAAATTATTAAACAAATAATTAAAAGTTTTTTATATCTAACTATTTCTCAACTATCTATTTAATAATTAATTATACTAAACTGTTAATTTAAAAAATATTGTACAATTTGTAGTATAGCATAAGATTCTCTAATAAATATTATAAAAAGTACAATTATTTTAAATGAAGTGCGATATTTCTAAGGTATTGTTTGGATTGGAGGTGTCGGATGGAGAGGGAGGGTAAGGGATGGGGACGGATGGCAAGGGAGGGGGAGCGAGGGGGAGCTGTCTCATTCTTTTTGTTTGGGTTTCCAAAGAGGCAGAGGGGGAGGGAGATATATTGATTCAGACTCCCTCCAACCACCCTCAAATTTGCAGATTTGCAATCTGCCCGATTTGGGGGGTTTGGGAGGGATTTGAGTGGCTGTTTAGATTAGGTTAAATGTAATTACAAAATTAACCTTAATTTTTTTATTATATCCTTCTCCATTACAAGTTTAAAGGATAAATTTGTAAATTTAAAATTAATTTAAATCTTTTCCTTCTTTCCTTTTCTTTTACCTTAATTATCTAAACATAAAATAATACAATCCTTCCCTTCCCTTCCCCTTCCTCATTTTTATTTATCCAAACAAAATTAACACAAATCATTTTTTTTATTTTCTTCCCTTTCCTTTCTTTTCCTCCCCCTCCATTTCCTTTTCTTTTCCTCCATTCCCCGCCCTTCCCTTCCCTTTACTATTTTCTATCCAAACAAAGGCTAAAAGTATTATTATAGTAAGTGTACCTTACTTTTATATTAAAATTATATTAAATTATAAAATAAAAATTATCTATTAATATATATTTTCGAGGAGAAAAATTGGAAAGAAGAAAAAAAAAATCTAAACAGCCCCACCCTAAGAGAAAGTCTAGCATACAACGCGGATACCACATCAGATGGTATCCCCATCCAATAACAAAATGACAGCTCATTAAATTTGAACACGTCGTCGTTTAATTCATCATCCAACTTAAAACAACTCACCATTCGGCAGCAATCGCAATATAACTTAACGGAGAAATTTTTTGTCCTCTGTAAATTAACTTAATCGTCTCTTCCCTGTACTTGCCCGAGTGCTCATCGCTGCGGCAATGACGACCAAAGTTTGCAAGATCCCTTGCTCCCACAAAATTCCATCTTTCTTCTCTTTAATATAAAAAATATGAGTTCTTCAGATTTGTGAATAGTGGGTTCAAGGAGATTTGTGGCTGTGGAAAACTTAG